TTCATAGCAACGAGATCTACGCGTTAGTAACAGTGGTTACCATGTCACTATTTCTGGAATTTCATGGTTTAAACTCTAATTTAAATAATAATTATATAACTGGATTTTATAAATAGAATATGATTTGTTTCACTTTTGTTTTATAAATCAAATCTAAATTTGACTTAAATTATAATCTCTATAAAATATCTTATATATGTTTTTATATAAATAAAACACATAAAGCTAATAGTTTTATGAGCAGATCTCTCGGTAGTTGTATCTTTTTAACCGTAGCTCCGATTAGTGTGCCTCTTGCGTCTGTGTGTTCGTAGCAATGCGTAGAATCGTATTTCAAACTCTTTCACTTATTTTTCTATGACTGGTGTACTGTTCTAATTTAGATCTATTGTTTGCTTCGTGTATGATTGTATGGATGCTTGCGTAGTACTTTATGATTTCGTCCGGTCGGTGAGATATACGTGGTGAATCAAGAAGCATATCTTTAAAGTTTTGGACTTGAAGAAAGATATAAGTTTAAGGTAAGTATAGCATGGGATCTTCCTTGTTGTCCTATACATATTTAATTATTTAATTCATACTGCATGTGTCTACCTTGACTACCACTAAGGATTTTCTAATACTTTGTACCTTGTGCATTGACACCTTTGGGTTATTACATTGGGTAGTATGATGCTATTGCTCAATTAAAGACCATGATCTTGTAACTTGACTAATGTAATATGCAATAAACATTAAAGGATGCTTTTTAGCAACATGAAATAAGGGGGTTAGAGCATTTGACTATTTTATGGTGATTTAGATTTCTCTTCCTAAGGACTTATCTGTAAGTGATTTATTCGGGACTTACAGTACAACTGTGAGGGCTATATAGCTCTGGCTTTAGCTCAGTATGAGGACTTTTTCTAGCTTGTTAGTGGTTACCTTTATTGGCGTAAGAATGGCTTGCCGAATCGGGTATAGGACAACCTCTACTCTTATGTGTATAGCTGTGATGGAATTGTGTCATTCGACAGGGGGTTCCTATATCTGTTTGCTGAGTGAATCTAATGACCCTAACTTGTTAGATGAACCTTTGAAAGGCTTCGTAGTGAACCCTGCCGATCTTCCTTGGTAGTGGGTCAAGAGGTTGGCCGCCTCGGGCGAAAGGGTAAATCACGACTCACAATGAAAGTGTACAACCTCTGCAGAGTGTAAAACTGGTTATCAGTCGTGTTCACGGTCACGAGTGGCCTTGGAACATTTACGGAATAGATGATGAATACAGATGATACTGATGATGAAAATGCTCACTAATGATTACTGTTTATGCTATTCATTAATCATGTTTACCTGATTATGTGTTTATGGGCTTGTGATGAATTTGTTGCCACCCAATTGCTAAATGATGACTCATTAAAAGCTAGTCGCAGTTAAACCAGTGTCAGCCTTTTGAGCCTCATGAACCCCATATTATATTTGCTGAGTACGACATGTACTTACGCTTGCTATATTTTTTTTAATTGTTTGGATAAAAATCCCGGATGGGTACCAGATTGTTAGAGTTTGGAGGAATTAGGCTTGTGATCAACCAGTCAGTTGTCCCTGTGGATTTGGAGTCTTTGCCTGAAGATCGGAGTTGTCTTTCCACTGTCTATACTCTGAGGTTATAATTTTTATACTAATACGTTATGTATTTAAGCATTGTTTTTTGATATTACCCTTATTTGTAGCTATATGTGAGATTTGACTTTCTAGGCTCACATATGGTGTGTATCTGGTTTTGTTCTTAAAACCGGGTGCTACAGATCATCGCACATGTTTAGTATTAGCAACCAAGTGAGAGTTAATATTAGGTGTTATGCTAAATGTGAGCCATAGATGATGTACCTGAGTTATGAGTTGGTGCCCTGATTCGATCGGCACTTGGAAGCCAATTGTGCCCAGTACTAATGCGAAAATTATTATTCCCCGTAACAAATGTCAAACTATTCAGTTAACTGGAATTCTGAAAACAAAAGCCAACACTCCAAGTGATCTAGGTATTGTGGAATTCAGAAATATGCCGGTGTGTAACTCATTTTAGCTACCCTTTTGAAGTAAACTGATTCTGAAGAATGTACAAGAACACAAAAGTTCAGAGTTGACATCTGAGTAGGCTTTTCTTATGTGATTAAGAACATTTATTATCTTTAATTTATATATGATAAAAATCAGCCAAAGTAATTTGGTTAGATAAACAATGTCCTTACCACTTGTTGCATGCGCTTTCCAATTGGATAGTTGTGCTTGTTCAGCCTTTTCATAGTGTACATGCCATGAACCAAAGTATGAACCCTGACAGAAGGTCCAATAGGCAATCCAGCTTTGACGCTATAAACGCCATGGATACAGTTTCAACTGAAGCAACGACTTTTCTAACAAAAAGAGTAGTCAATGACTTTTCTGACAAAGAGGATCAGATTGATTATATTCGACAAGTTAATAGCAACCGTCTTGCTCTTTGTCAATTGCTGAATTGGCTCTTCCTCAGAAGAAAAGAAGCAGACAGTTCACAACATATTCCATAATCACATACTAAACAATGGTAAATCTAGAAATCAGTCTCTTTTTTTGTTTTGTGTAGGCTATATGTTTTTATGTAGAAGTCCAAAGTGATAACCGTCGGACTTGTTTCCAAAATCGAAGCTTGCAGCAAAATCTCGAACAACAAAAGGAAAGCCTCTGTCCTGAATATAGCTCCTTGCTCCCATCCATGATTGTCTTGAGGTCAACCTCACCAAGATCAATCTTTTTTGCCTTGGACTCACACTTGGAAAGAAGTTCACTGAGCCTAAGTCAAACTTATCCTCCTCCTGGATTGGTGCTCGTCTTTGTCAAACTGTCTAGGCAAAACATGAAGAAATAAGATCCTATAAGCCAAGGCAGAAAATAACTTTCATCCAAGTTGATGTCCTTCAGAGACATATCACTGGATGGCCACTGGAACTGCAAATCGGAAGAGAATCAAAGGTAACAGCATCTACAAATTATGATTTGCCAACTGAGTTACTTGATTTTACTCATACTGTGCACATTTTGAACCATAAATCACATGTCCCAGTTAATTTCGCTCTCTTTCTTTTACTACTTTTGTCAGTACATGATGAGTAATAACATAAGAATCAGAGAAGAGGGAGAGACAGCATGTAAGAAGCCAACCTTGCTTGATCGTGCCCGGTGAGGTCAGGAGCGTTGTCCACCTCGGCGAGGTCAGGTCGCCTGCGAGATTAGGATGTCCCAACGAATCTTGCGAGATCAGGATGACCCAATGGCAACTTTTAATTTCAGTTTCAACCAAAATCTCTATAAACAGGAAAATAACGGAAGGAGTTCGTGTCGAGCGTACCATGGAATCCGAATGGGTGTCTTCGAGATTCGATTGCGATTCCAATTCTGACTTGATGTGTCAATGAAGCATCCAGCGACGCCATGTACGACGACCAACGCGGTGACGATGGCTTCTCGGAAGAACGTGGCAGCAATGGCGGCGGCACAGACCCGAGAGGAGGAGGCGCATCCCGGGTCCGCACCATCTAGAACGGCGCCATCATTTGAGGTGACCTGGGCGGTGGTGGAGAAGAGCGGCGCCTTCTTGTTCGACTTGGCGCCGGACTACTCCATCTGTGCCGTACGGGGGAACGGCTCGGTGACGGACTGCTGGACGGCGGGGCGGCGCTGTGCACGAAAGTAGCGCCGGCGCTTTGCATGTGGGAGCGGCGGTGGTGGCTCTACTCGCTGGTGCGGCGCCGGCGGTGGATCTGCACGCGAGGAGGAACGGCGGCGACGCTGGCGGGCGAGCGGAGCATGTGCTCATGCGAGAAGCCGAGCGGGCCGTGCGGAGAGAGAGCCGTGCGGCCAAGTGTAGAAGGCGAGTGGGCCGGACGGAGTGAGTGGACCTGGGAAGCCATCGAGCGAGTGAGGCATCGCACCCAGGGTCGACGATTCTCTTACGAATATTTTAGTTGTAGAGATTATCAATATATAAAATGTTACTTAGGTTGATAACATATGATTGACGTGGCTAGATTAATCACGTATGGAAAATCCTTTCATAGCATACAATACAACTTGATCTATAGTACTGACTCAGTTCTAAATTATAATTCGTTTGATTTTTTTTCTAAGTTGATCACTCGTCTTATTTAAAAATTTGTGTAAAATATTTTTTTTTGTGGCTTGCTTTATTAACAAAAGTTCTTTAAGAATGACTTAAATTTTTTACTATGTTTACATAAATTTTTTGAATACGACGAGTGATCAAACTTGAGGTTAAAAAAGTAAACGAATTATAATTTAGAACTGAGGGAGCATATATTTATACAAGTTGCATGTTAAATGTCGTATTCGAGATCGTGCCAATGTCCTAAAAATGACTTATATTTAGGATAAGAGACAATGCGAAGAGAATGTTCTCTTATTTTGCGACAAATGCCAAAAGTTATTTGACAATGTGATGCGATGTGGTTCTTGCGGCTGCGGTGTCAAGCCTGCAGGTGGAAGAATCGGGTGTTCGCTTCTCCCTCGACGAGGAACAGCAGACGTGAGCGCTGACGCGCGATTGCCAGGCAAGGACGTCAAGAATCCAAGACATTTGCGTTTTAGCTCTTTGCGAAGCGCCATTTCCTCAGGTGACAGCGACCTGGTTTCCTGCGTGTTAAATGTCGTCTTGGAGATCATGTCAATGTCCTACATTTGTACTGTGGTTCGCAGGACAGAAAAAAAATCACTCCAGCCTAATCTTAAGTAGGAGTTGGTCTACGAGTCCACGGGAAGACCGAAGGCGAGTGTCCTGTCCGTGACGGCCACGACAAACTCCAATCGCAAATAAAAGCTGGCATATTCCATACGCTCGGTGCTAATACTGCCAGTGCTAGCTTTTTAAACCGCCAAGCTCAAAACCAGTATCCTCCGCAGAGGAGAGTGCAGCATCAGAGCATCTCTTCTCGGCTTCTCCAAGGGCAAACAAGAACAAGAGAGCCATGGGCGCGAGCCATCTTGAGCAAACCAATGCTCTCTTCAGGAAAAATCTTGTAATCCAGGTGACCCCCGCCTTGATCTCCCTCTTGTTTTGGATTTTTTCCAATCAAGGTTGCATCTTTCAAGTTCTTGCGTCGAATGGATGAAATTGATCCTTTCGTGATTCCATCACTGACTGACAGAATTTGGTGCAGTTGCAGCATGAATAATATACCAAGATTCAATTTTGCTCTCACTAGTCACTAGTATAGATGCAAATTCCCTGCACTGACGCTACTTTGAATTTCGACTCGTTTTTGAATCTGCGGCTCCATGAACAATACACCAAGATCACTCATCATGACACTGAATTTCAACTCGTTTATTTCACTCCCGATCCGCAGAGGCGCTCCTGCAAGACGAACTGCTGTCTGATCTCGTTCCCGCTGCTCCTCTGCTCCGTCATCGGCGGCCTACAGATCGCCATCAACCACGCATCGTCGTCGCAGGGAGAGGGAGGTGCTATTCCTGCTACCCATCTCGACTGCAGCTGCAGCAACGTCAGCGTAGACGAGAACGCGATGGGAGGCATAGAATGCCCTTACCAGTACGAGTACGAGTGCCCGTTGCCTCGCGCGCCCAAACAGCCCCTTTCCTCAAGATCCCAAATCCCAAGTACCGCGCGGTTCAAGATGGCCTCTTCCCGTACACTGATCTCCCAGATGCGTCGTGCAGAGTCAATGGGTCTTGCGCGGCAACATTCCTTGTCACTGGCGACAACCACTCTTTTGTAGAAGGTAGGTTTTTTTTGCTGTTCAATTGTCCATTCTGACAGAGTGCAGTGCAGTGCGAGCTTTCTGTGAGTGGTTTCTGAAATAGCCTTTTTCTCCTTGCAGGTGTGATAGATAACATTTTCACTGCTCATAGTTCTTCAGTGAACTTGTCGGCAGATGTTTCTGCGTTGTCTGATTTTGTTCTGGTAGGCTGCTTCATTCTTTGAGTTCTCTGTGTATGATCCTTATTGACAGAGCAATTTTGTGATGTTTGAATATCTGCAGGCAGATTACGGAGGATCTTTTCTTCAGAACAAGTGCTTCCCTAACTTGACACTTTCTTATCCAGTTCAACATGGCAATCGTACCGTGAGTCAAGGTAACTATTATCTCCATGTAAGATCAAATGCTGCATTGCTCACTGACGATAAAAATTTCGGTTCAACTAAATAAAAGGTCGCAGTGCCAATGGCTTCAGCTGTTGCTGACACTGGTAAAGATATTTGGGATTAGTACGGTCTTTTAGCACATGGCAAAATGATAAATAAATCCACAAGCAATTCTCCTGTCTTACTATTTAGCAATGTTACTACATTTTGCCTATTACTCATGCTTACCGGAACTCTTGGAGTAGATGTACAATGCACAGAAGGATTAGTGCTCTGGCGTGACAGTTCAAGGCTAATTAATGATGAATTATATGGAGGTTATTACCAAGGGAATAATAACCATAAGACCGACGCAATTGCTGCAGGTCATATTTTTGAATCTTTGTGCTTTCAATCCGTTATTCTAACTGCTGCTCATTGGCATCTAATATGTGGTTCATCTACGTGATGCAGCATATGATTTCTTAAGTTCTGATCAGGGCAAATTCAACCTGATCATCTCATACAACTCCACAAACTATGGTTTTTATGATGAATCAGAACAATCTGTCCCTGCGCTTAATAATCAAGAACGTCCAGTGCAAAAAGCTAATTCGGATCAAGTCCCACGATTAGCTAATATGGTATCGCTTTTCCTAGTTGAGATAAATAATAGTATATCTCTTTGGAAAACTTTTCTTTAGTTTCTTTCATTGGAACCCCTTTGTTCTCTAAACATTTTGTTCATTCTCATATGCTTCTTGATTGACTTCGTTCATGCACTACTACTCTCTTTGTTGTCAAACTATTTGTGGCACCCTTTCATCATTGTTTTACACTTCAGTTTCAATTTTTCAGGCCTCAAATGCATACCTTCATTTAAAGGGTAATGGTCTCAATATGTCATTTGAATTTGTTAAAGACATGCCTAGAGCAGCTATACCAGCTGCACACAATGACCGGTTTGATCTGGCTCCATATATAGGGCAGCTACCTTTTGTATGGACTATGGAGCTTCTTTTTCCGGTACGACAAGCCTTTGTAGATTCCTTTTGTATAGCCAATATGAATTGGATGATCTGATATGTTTTGGTGTCACTAGAAGAAGCATACAAATGTGGTTACATTATAAATATTTTCATATCTCGTGAACCGGTGAGTTGGTTCTGCAGGTAATTTTGACAAACCTTGTATACGACAGACAAAATAAGCTAAGGATAATGATGAAGATGCATGGTCTTGGAGATTTACCGTATTGGACTATATCCTATTGCTATTTTCTACTATTGTCGCTGCTTTATGTGCTGTCCTTCATGCTATTTGGTTCTGCCCTTGGTAAGATACATTACTTTTAATACTAGGAATGTACTTTATAATAATCAAAATGAAACATAGGATGAACTTATAGTGGTTCTGATCATGAGGGAATTGACGCAAGCACCGATATAATTGCAGTTAGATCTTGGCTTCTCTTTATACGAAATTATTTTACTTTTTATGCTAATTTTAATGAAAGGGAAAGGAGCCTCATGGTACTATTATAAATTGGAAGCAAACCTAATGATACTTCAATTTCTATGTTCAGGTTTAACATTCTTCCGCCAGAACAACTATGGCGTGCAGTTTGTATTCTTTTTTGCTTACATGAACTTGCAAATTTCATTTGCATTTCTTATGACAACATACTTCTCTAGTGTGAGGACAGCTACTGGTATGCTTCTGTTAATGTGTGCATTATATCCATTTTATCAGATAGTATGAAGTATCTGTAGTTCTTTACTGAACTGATTATCTGGCATCTCTTCATGCAGTGACAGGATATTTGTACATATTTGTGTCTGGCCTTTTGTCACAATTTATATTCAGATCCTATGTTGAAGATGCTAACCTCTCAAGTATGTACAAAGTTCACTAGCTATATCTTAATGAAGTCGATATGCACGATGTTAGTCATCTTCTTTTTTATGTAAGTTTTTTTCGTTAATTCTAATAAGTTGCTTGGAAATTTTGTGTTTTCTCATTTCAAGGAAGCTGGATCACACTTATGGAACTTTTACCTGCATTTTCCTTATACCGCATTGTTTATGAATTCTCACGATTTGAACGGCTTGGAAATTATATGGCCTTCTTGGGGATTCAGTGGACTGATATGACTAATCCAGAAAATGGATTGGCAGGTGTGCTTACCATTATGGTACTAGAATGGTTCGTATTCCTTTTACTTACATTCTATTTGGACCATTTTCATTCCTTCAAAGACGGAATGAAAAAAGCAGCAGTATTTGTTCGCTCCCGCATAAATGGGAACCATGTTGAAACTGCTCAGCAGCAGAACATACAACTTCAGGAATTCAGAGCTTCCGTTGAATTGGAGAGAACAGATGTCATCAAAGAGGTGTGCTCTGCTCTATTCTTTGGTACACTCCCATCTTTTTTTCTTGTTTTTTTAGAAAGAGCTTCAGGAGTCTGTTGAGATAATTAGAGAGGAGTTTAAACTACACAATGTACTACCTAAAATGTTACACTAAACAATATTTTCAGGTTAGTTGTTATTAAAGTAACCTTATGAAGCATTGAATTTTAGCAAGTCCCATATTTTTTTGAACATACCTGGTATTTTAATGAGTTCTAGTGTTTTCTGCTTCATACAATGTTTATTGCATATATTTTATACTAAAATTACAGCTTTAGCTCATTGCAATTTATGAATGCATAATCTACAATTTTCGGTTCCAAAAATAAAAAACTCTTTAGAGAAAACCACAGACCCGACAAAATTTGATCTTTGTTGGCATAAAGATAATTAACAATTTACAAGTGTTTCTATAGTCAGACAAGGACAAAATTTTGATATATTACCATACAAAGACAAATAACAAATCACAAAAATAACAATTTAGTTACTTGTACTAGTTGATTGTACAAGAATGTTGCCTGAAATCATCTTAAAATTTAGGCACCTTGAAATATAGAATCAGATTAATCTATATTCGAAGTCACTTGTGAAGTAGTGCACATCAATTTATCATTTTGATCTTTCTTTTCAGAGAGAGATAGTTGAACAGATATCAGAAGAATCTCGCAGAAGCTATTCAGTCATATGCGACAATCTTGAGAAAGTGTACCGTGGAAAAGATGGAAATGCAGATAAAATTGCAGTTAGAGGGATATCCATTTCTATGTCACGTGGACAGTGTTTTGGTGTTCTTGGTCCAAATGGTGCGGGAAAGACCACTCTTATTAACATGGTAAGTTCAAATATAGATTTGGATACAATAGGTTATGGTATGTAAGTACAGGTCAATCTCTCTATTTAGAGAAGGTGGTTAATGACTCAATTATGCGTTCTTTCAAATCTAAGAAAAAAAAAGTTTGGGTGTTCGTGTAGTATAAAACTGAACTCCAGAGTTTGCCTCCTATATATTTTAGCTTTTGCAAATATCCATCAGCTATACTGATTATCATGTTTTGAGTACTCTTAACCTGTCAACAGCTGACTGGATTTTGTAAACCTACCTCTGGCACTGCATACATTGAAGGGATGGACATACGCTTCGACATGGACAGAATATATACAGGAATTGGTGTTTGTCCACAGGATGAGTAAACTATTCTATCTCACTCAGATGTTTCGTCTGAACCAGTTTTTCAGGTTAGCTTATTTAGTTGCGAACTTTGTGATGACTTTCCTCTTTCCTGGATGACTTGATGCAGCTTGCTATGGGAGAACCTGACTGGTCGCGAGCATTTGTTGTTCTATGGCAGGCTTAAGAAATTAAAGGGTGCAGCATTAGCTGAGGTATTGTTTGACCTGACTGCTCTAATGTTGTGATGGGTTATTTTGATGTTTTTCTTTCTGTCATTATTGATCACTTGAAGTACTATCAAGAGTAGATGAATGGAATTAAAATACTAGTCACTGTAGTCTGTAGGGTTCTTTCCAGGCAAGAATCATCTCTTGTTTGTGGGCTCTACTACTCTTGTACAAATCATTCAAGCTCGATCTACAATCCAATAAAAATTTATCTGGTTGCAAAATAAACCAAATCATGGTACACTAGAAGCTACTAAAAACATCATAGGGTGATCTCTTACTTCCAGGCCATTGAACAATCTTTGAGAAGTATGCACTTGCTTGCCGGTGGTGTTCCTGATAAACTCGTGGGGAAATACAGTGGTGGTATGAAACGTCGTCTCAGTGTTGCTATCTCTCTAATTGGTGATCCTAAGGTATTTTTATTGATCAACTGAAATCATGATTTAAGGAACACCTGATATTCGTGCACGTATAAGTATAAATAAATATGTTGGTGGAATGCTTTTATAGGTTGTTTATATGGATGAACCAAGCTCTGGCTTGGATCCAGCATCAAGGAAAAACTTGTGGAAGGCTGTCAAGTCTGCGAAACAGGATAGGACAATAATTCTCACAAGTACATTATTTGACTCTCACCTGTCATCATGAGATTGGCAATCAGATGGTGAAAACATTGCTTGAATCTATCTATTTTCAGCACACTCGATGGAAGAGGCTGATGTTTTGTGCGACCGGATCGGAATCATCGCAAATGGTAGCCTGCAGTGCATTGGGAGCTCCAAAGAGGTACACTACACACTCAATCAAATTTTCAGATAGTAGTAGCCAGTGATCCGAAACTCTGACATGGCCATCCATCCTATTTCTTTCTTGTTTCCAGCTGAAAGACAGGTACGGAGGCTCATGCGTGCTGACAGTAACAACTCCGGCCGGCGAAGAGGAGGAGGAGATCGAGAGGCTGGTCCAGTCCATCTCGCCCGCGGCCAACAGGGTGTACCGCGTCTCGGGAACGCAGAAGTTCGAGATGCCGAAGCAGGGGATGAAGATCTCCGTGGTTTTCGGGGCCATGGAGCAGGCGAAGAGCAGCCTGCACATCCTTGCCTGGGGCCTGGCTGATACGACGCTGGAAGACGTCTTCGTCAGAGTGGCCAAGCAGAGTGACATGTCCACTGTGACCTGATGACTGATCCGGCCCTGGTGCATATATATATATATATATATATATATATATATATATATATATATATATATATATATATATATATATATGAAACCGGTGTGGTAACCCATGCATGAAGCCATGAACATGAGGGAGATGCAGTCATGCAGATTCAGAATATATCTATGAACCACTATGGCAGTCCACTGAGCTTGTTTGTAAGTCTTGAATGAAATTGGTTCAGTTTAGGTGATGAACGCGACACAGATTTGACCAGCCTGGACTTTTGTAAAACCTCGCTAAATGCGCTCAGTGGAGTTTTGGACCCCGCGCGCGCTGTGGGCCGTGGCAGGCGCAAGCAAGCGGAATCCACGGCCGGGGGTCCACGACACGATCGAGCGCCTGCCACTCTTGGCGGCGCCGGAAACGGTTGAGCGTGTGCGGGGCGGGACAGGAGCTGTAAAGTAATTGCTGCTTCCCTGTACGCACGGCAGGGGTAGGTGTTAAAGGACTCTCCTGCTACTGCACTGGAGCCGCGACAGAGATAGATATTGAAAGGCCCTCCCGCCTAGCCACAGCAGGGGCAGAAGTCAAAGTCAGCCCTGCTGTCAGTCGCTGTAGCAGCATGATAGCCTGATATTTCTGTGTACTGGGACTAGATGGGTAGAGTTGTATATATAGCTTCCCACTGCGACTCAGTAAAGTTGAGAGAGTTCAGTTTTGTCATCTCATCTGCAGAGCTCCGGCCAACGCTGGTGCTTGTGCTGTGTGTGTGCGCTCTGTTCTCCCTCTCTTCTTCTACCTCTAACCATAGTGAGCGAGAATGCCGGTGACCGGTCGGCTCACCCGTGCTGGAGATCTCGGGACCAACAAGTGGTATCGGAGCCGTACAAGCGTCGTCACCGGACTAACCGCTGGCGATGACGGACGGTTTGGAGATGGGCGACAAGAATAAGGCTATTGTGGTTTTGCCCAAACCACACGAGAGAGGTCGTCGTCGCCGCGATCAAGCGGGAGGTCGAGGCACCGCTTGTCACCACCACTCGCACCAACTATGGTGAGTAGGCGGTGACCATGAAGGTCAAGCTTAGAGCCCGGCGGCTCTGAAATACCATTGACAAGGGCACCAACAACGAAGAAGACGACATGTCAGCGTTGGAGGCTATCATCGTCTTGTGCGGCGGAGAGTCTGAGAGAGCCGTTAGAGGCGAAGAACTCGCTAAGGAGACGTGAGAGGCCATTGCAGCAATGCACGTTGGCTCGATCACAAGCGCAAAGAAGGCGACGACCCAGCTGCTGAAGCAGGAGTACGCCAACCTCAAGTTTAAGGATGGTGAGTCGGTGGAGTACTTCTCCCTCCGCTTGCAGTCGCTCATCAGCAAGCTGAGGAGCCACGACGTCACCATCGACGAAGAAGAGACGGTCTTCAAGCACCTCCACTCTGTGCCAGTGAAGTACATCCAGATCACTCTCTCCATAGAGACGATGCTGGACTTGTCCACCCTCACCATTGAGGATGTGACAGGTCGTCTGTGGGCGGTGGACGAGCGCATGGAGTAAGCCACATCAACGACGGACAACGGTAAGCTGCTGCTAATAGAGAAGAAGTAGGCTGCCCGGATGGAGAAGAAGTCCGAGGAAGCCTCCTCCAGCCGCGGTGGCGATGGCAAGTGCCGCGGTAAGGCTTCTTCAGAGATGAAGAAGAAGGTCGACCCCAACGCCTACCGACGCTGTGGGAAGACGGGCCATTAGGCAAAGGAGTGCCCAAATCGCAAGCAAGAGAAGAAGGCTGTGGCTCATTTAGCGTAGGCCGATGAGGATGATGAGGCCACTCTCCTGATAGCGACGTTCTGTGCACTGCACGACGTTGAGGCCAAGGAGAAGGGAAAGGTGATGGCGGTGGAAGGGCACGACAAGGCTCTAAAGGCTGTCAACCTGGATGAACCGTGCGCCCAAGTCCACCTCGGACATATGGGCGGCGAGCAGGAGCAGCGGTGGTACCTAGACTCTGGCGCCAGCAACCACATGACGGGCTCCAAGGAAGCCTTCTCCGAGCTCGACGGCAACATGATCGGCACGGTGAAGTTCGGTGATGGCCCAAGAGTGGCGATCCGAGAGCGCGACACCATCATCTTCAGGTGCCAGAATGGCGAGCACCGCGCGTTGACGGATGTATATTACATTCCGCAGCTGCATTCAGGCATCATCAGCATTGGCCTGCTAAATGAGCGCGGCAGCGAGGTACTGATCGAGGACGACGTCCTCAGGATCAAGGACCAGGAGTAACGGCTTCTTGCCAAGGTGAAGAGGTCTCAAAACCGACTGTACCTGCTCGACTTGAAGGTGGAGCAGCCGGTGTGCCTAGCAACATGGCACACCGAGGAGCGTTGGCTGTGGCATGCCCGGTTTGACTATCTCAGCTTTGACGCGCTCGGTCGGCTGGAGAAGATGGTCCGAGGGCTGCCCCACATCAAGCACGCAGGCGAGCTGTGTGACAGCTGCCTGGCCAGAAAGCAAAGGAGGCTGCTGTTCCCAAAGACGACCAAGTATCGCACGGCGGACGCTCTCGAGCTCGTCCACGGTGATCTCTACGGGCCAATCACGCCAGCCACAGACGGTGGTCAGCGGTACTTCCTCCTATTCATGAATGATTGCAGTCGCTATATGTGGCTGCAACTCCTAATGAGCAAGGACGAGACGTCGGAGGCGATCAAGAAGTTCAAGGCTCCCACAGAGGTGGAGAGTGGCAAGAAGTTGCATGTGCTGAGGACTGATCGTGGCGGCGAATTCACTTCGGTCGAGTTCGTTGCGTACTGCGCGGATCAGGGTGTGGTGCGGCACCACACCATGTCGTACTCGCCGCAGCAGAATGTCATGGTGGAGCGGCGGAACCAGATGGTGGTCGGCATGGCTCGATCCATGATGAAGGCCAAAAGCATGCCGGCAAGGTTCTGGGGTGAGGCGGTAACCATGGCGGTGTTCATCCTCAACTGTGCGCCCACAGAGGCCTTGAAGGGTGTGACGCCGTTCGAAGATTGGTATGGGCGCAAGCCGAGCGTGTCCTTCCTCTAGATATTTAGCTGCATCGGCCACGTTCGAAAGACAAAGCCGATCCTTACCAAGCTGGAGGACAGGAGCACACCGATGGTGCTCCTAGGCTACGAGGAAGGTACCAAGACGTATCGGCTCTACGACCCACGCGGAGGCAAGGTGGTTGTCTCGTGCGACGTCGTGTTCGACGAGAAGGCGGCCTAGGACTGGACAGTCCGGGCACAGGGGAAGCTGGCGGCTTCACCAGTACCTTCGTCGTCGAGCATTTGGTCATCCACGGTGGGGAAACGCTGGAGAGGAGGTGTCGACCACTCCAGCAACAGAGCCGAGCACTCCTATGCCGAGCACTCCAGGAGTGGTGCCGAGAGGTCCTGCAGTGGTGCCAACCACTCCAGGACGGGTGCTGAACGCTCCCGTAATGGTGCCGAGTGGTCCTACAGTGGTGCCAACCACTCTAGGACGGGTGCCAAATGCTCTCGTAGCGGAGCCGAGAGGTCTTGCAGTGGTGTCGATCACTCCAAGATTGGTGCCGAGCACTCCTACAGTGGTGCCAACCACTCTAGAAGTGGTGACAAGCGGTCCAGGAGCAGTGCCGAATACTGCAGCCGGGGTGCCGAGCACTACAGGTGCTGTGCCGACCACTCCGGCGGAACAGGGGACTCCATCGATGCCGATCGAGTTCGCCTCACCTCCAAGCGACATTACCGAGTTCGTGGATGCCTTCCACGATGGTGAAGAGGTGCGGTTACATAGGCTAGATGACATCGTCGATGGCACAGGGTCCTCAGGCCTGGCGAGTCAGCTGCTCAATGACCCAGAGCTGCTTCTCGTCAGTGTAGAGGAACCACCCATGTTCGCGCTGGCCGAGCGCGATGCAAATTGGCGACGAACAATGCTAGAGGAGATGAAGGTGATCGAGGAAAAAGAGACTTGGGAGCTCATCGATCCACCTCTAGGACACCGTCCAATCGGCCTGAAGTGGATGTACAAGGTCAAGCGGGACGAACACGACATCATTGTCAAGCACAAGGTGCGCCTCATTGCCCGAGTGAAAGCTCTAGTTTGGTTTTGGTGAATTGATGAAACCCTAAGTGCTAACCTAGTTTATCAAGTGATCATGATATACGTAGCACACTCTAAGTGGTGAAGCAAATGAAGATCATAACATGATAATGGTGATGCCATGGTGATAATCAAGTGATCAGACTTGGAAAGAAGAAAGAGAAAAACAAAAGGCTCAAGGCAAATGTATAAATTGTAGGAGCCATTTTATTTTGGTGATCAAGACACTTAGAGAGTGTGATCACATTTAGGATCGATAGCCGTACTATTAAGAGGGGTGAAACTCGTATCGAAATGCGGTTATCAAAGTACCACTAGATGCTCTAACTCATTGCATATGCACTTAGGATCTAGTGGAGTGCTAACACCCTTAATAATGTTTGTGATAATATGCTAACACATGTGCACAAGGTGATACACTTGGTGGTTGACACATTTGAGTAAGGGTAAAAGATTTCACCGGCGGAGTGTCCTCCCGTAGAGTGCGAACAGTCCGACGGTGCCACCGGCGCCCTAGACAGAAAAGACGGAGGTCACTGTAAGTGACCAGACACTGGTCTCGGTTGGACCGGCGCGTCCGGTCAGGTGTAACAACGAAGACGCCGGCGTCGGTCAAATGACCGGATGCTAGGTCGCTCGGCGACCGGACGCTGGCAGGGTGTGTCTGGTCAGTGCTGACGTACGCTGACGTGAGGCGCACAGAGGAGACGTTGAGGGACCGGACGCTGGGTGAATCCGGTCGTGAAGATTCGTGTTTGGAACCTTACTGAAAACGACCGGACGCTGGTGGCTCAGAGTCCGGTCAGTTTGTGCGCTGTGTCCGGTCAAGAGATGACCGTTGAAATCTGACGAACTGTATTTGAAGCAAGGGACACGTGGCGTGCATCACGTGACTGGACGCTGAGGGCCAGCGTCCGGTCGATTGGGGGCTCTATTTCACGGGGGCTTCTATTTAAGCCCCATGGCCGGCTCAAGCTCACTCTCTTGGCCATTTTCATTGACATAGCAACATTGTGAGTTTAGCCAAAGCCCTTTCACTCATTTTTATCATAGATTAAACATCTTTGTGAGATTGGGAGTGAATCCAAGTGCATTGCTTGAGTGTTTGCATCTAGAGACACTTGGTGTTCATGTTTTGCTGCAGGATTCGCTTGTTACTCTTGGTGGTTGCCGCCACCTAGATGGCTTGGAGCAGCGAGGATCGTTGAGCAGAGGGTGGTGATTGTCTCTGGCTCCGATCGTGGTGATTGTGAGGGGTTCTTGACCTTTCCCCGGCGGAGCGCCAAAAGGTACTCTAGTGGATTGCTCGTGGCTTGTGTGATCCTCATCTTATATTGGTTGTGCGGCACCCTGTTGAGGGTTTGGCGTGAAGCCAATTAGCGCGTGAACCTTCAAGTGAGTGTATCACCACAACGAGGACTAGCTTGCCGGCAAGCAAGTGAACCTCGGTAAAAAATCATTGTGTTCATCATTGATTCCGAGGTGATTGGTCTTCATTGTTATCCACACTTATGATTGATTTGTTCATACATCTACACGGCGGTATAACCTTCTTGCCTACTCTTTACATTACCGCAAGAATTAGGTGTCAAGCTCTCTAGTGTAACTAGTTGTGAGAGCTTGTTAGTTTTGGTCAGTGTGGGTCTTTAGTTAGCTTTTGAGAGCACACTAACTTAGTGTAGTGATATAGCTATTGTGTGAAGATACTCCATCTAACTAGAATTGTGGTAGGTGGCTTGCATTTTGGTAGGCTAGCGCAAAACTCGCTTCGCCTCATAATTGTCTAATTCTTTTGTTAAGTGTTGTTGTAGAAATTTTTATTAGGCTATTCACCCCCCCTCTAGCCATTAGGACCTTTCACCGAGGCTTTGTCCAGCGCGAGGGCATCGACTTCGAGGAAGTTTTTTACGCCGGTAGCGTGCATGGAGTCTATCCGACTGCTGCTGGCTTTGGCAGCAACGAAGGACTGACGCATCCATCTCTTGGACGCAAAATCGGCCTTCCTCAATGGCGAGCTGGCGGAGACGGTCTTCGTCAGGCAACCTCTGGGTTTCGCCGTCAAGGGAGCATAGCATAGGGTGCTCCGATTGCGTAAGGCGCTCTACGGGCTGTGGCGAGCTCCACGAGCGTGGGCGCCAAGCTTGAGGCCACGCTGGCGAGCTTGGTTTCACGCTGGTGCGTGAATCGAAAGCACGCACTCTACATGCGGCGACGGAGGAAGGAGGAGCTCATCAGCGGTGTGTATGTGGACGACTTGATCGTCACCGACGCGCGTGCGGAGGACATCGACAGCTTCAAGCGCGAGATGGCAGCTCTTTTTTGAATGAGCGATCTCAGCGCGCTCTCCTACTACCTCGGCATCGAGGTGAGACAAGGGAAGGAGGCGCTCACGCTCGATCAGAGCGCGTACGCCTCGAAGCTTTTGGAGCGGAGCGGCATGGCTGAGTGCAAGCCGTGCGTGACTCCGATGGAGGAGCGGCTCAAGCTGACGAAGGCCAGTACCACGGCGAAGGTAGATGCAACACTCTACCAGAGCATCATCGACGGTCTGCGCTACCTAGTCCACATGAGGCCGGACATTGCGTTCATCGTGGGCTACGTCAGCCGCTTTATGGAGGATCCTTGAGAGGATTACTGGGCTACAGTGAAGTGGCTGTTGCACTACGTCAAGGGGACGGTGGATCAGGGGATCGTCTTTCCCAAGATCGACGGAAGTGGACTGCAGCTCACTGTGTTCAGCGATGCAGACATGGTGGAGGATATCGACGGACGGCGGAGCACCTCTGGCATGCTCGTCTTTCTCGGGTTGGCTCCAATCTTATGGCTGTCACTGAAACAAAAGATGGTGGCGTTGTCCACGTGTGAGGCAGAGTACGTGGCGGCGACCACAGCGGCGTGCCAAGCTGTGTGTGGCCGTCGCCGCGGTTCTGGGGCGAAATGGACCGTGTGGATGCTCACCCACCAGCACTGATGGTGGACAACCATCCCGCCATCGCCCTCGCGAAGAATCCGGTTCTCCATGACCGGAGCAAGCACATCGATGTCAAGTTCCACTTCCTCAGAGACTGTGTCGATGGAGGATAGATCGTCATCGAGTTCGTCGAAAACCGGCAACTTCATGGACGTCCTCACCAAGCCGCCACCGCCTCTTGGTTCATGGAGTGAAAGAAGATGATCGACATGGTGAAGGTTCTAGGATAGCAGCAGGATTAGGGGAAGAATTATAAAGTAATCTGTTGCTCCCTGTACGCGTGGCAGGAGCAGGCGTCGAAAGGGCTCCCCTGCGGGTGCACTATAGCCACGGCAGGGGCAGGCGCCAAAGTCAGCCCTGCCGTCACATCTAGTTACTATAGCAGTCTGGCAGTCTGGCATGTCTGTTTACTGGGATTAGATGTGTAAAGTTGTATATATAGCTTCCCATTGCGACTCAAGAAAATTGAGCGAGTTCGGTTTTGCCATCTCCTCTCAGCAGAGCTCTAGCCAACGCCGGTGCTTGTCTTGTGTGTGTGTGCGCCTGTTCTCCCTCCCTTCTTCTACCTCTAGTCATAGCGAAGAACGCCGCCGATGACCGGTCGGCTCACCGGTGACCGGTCGACTCACCCGTCTGGGAAGATCTCGGGACCAACAGGAGCATCTGCCGCGAGCTCCAAGGCCAGGACCGTCTTTCTTCGATTCTACGCGCCCGTCCGTTGGATTGTTAACTTCCTAACACCTACGGCAGGGTAGCGCATGCACTCTCGCCGGCGGCCTGCCTCGGGCTCTCTCTCTACGCCCCTTGCAAGATGGCGGCGAGGTCCACGACGATGGGGGTGGCGGACTTCCAATCCCAGGCCGATGCGCTCTTCAGCAATGTTTTAAATAGCGGGCTAAGGTGTTTAGCGGTATATCTCTAAAATAGCTAATAGCGGGGTTATATCGGGCTATAGCGGGATATAGCGGCTAATTGTACATGAACACAAATAGCGGCACCCCGCATCAAAAGGCTATAGTGTACTATAGCAGTAGCTATAGCGGGAGATTTAAAACTTCGCTCTTCGGGGAAAACCTCGCGATCCACGTATATATCCTGTCATCTTGCTCCATTCCTTATATCCATCCTTCAATTATCTTCTTCCGTTCTTTCTGATCGATGATGGATCCATTGTCTTTTCCTCCTCCTCCTTTTTTTTTTTGACAAAATTCGTCCTTCTTCGGCATCATTCTGGATTACTCCAACAATTACCGTTTCCTGTCAACAATAACCGCCTGCATGCATGCAGAGGCGCGCTTGCAAGGCCAACTGCTGCCTCATCCTGTTCCCGGTGCTCGTCTGCGTCCTGCTCGGCGGGCTGCAGACGTTCATGGACAACCTGTTCAAAAACCTGGGCGGCGACAAGCCCGACTGCAAGGTCTGCGACGGCCGCACCGGCGGCGGCGGCGTGCGTCTCAGCGAGGACGCCGTCGGGGGCCTCTCGTGCTCCCCGTCCTGCCCGCTGCCGGTGGCCCAGCGATGGCCCGTCGTGCTGCTTCTTCCCGGCAGCAAGGGGGATGCCCTTAACTTCTCCGCCCTGATGGAAATGGACAATAAACCGCCGCCGTGCGTGAGCCCGGAGTCGTGCACGGCGCCGGCCAAGTTCCTCGTCACCGGTGGCAACAAGTCATTCGCACAAAGTACGTATATATATCAGCAGTGCAGTGCATGCACTTCTTGTTCAGAATTCCTTTAGGCCTGGTTCGGTTATGGTGGAATGGGCCTAGTAACCATTCTAGCTGATCAAGCTTATACAAATTAGTGAACCATTTCAGCTTGGAATCGTTCCAGGGCATCATATTTCTGGATAACCGAACGAGGCCTTAATTGGTCACTGCAGCAGTGAGCCTTAGACCTGATGACGCTACCCCTTCGATCTCGTCTTGCAGGTCTCACGGGCAACATGTTCCCGCCACACGCCTCGCCGAACTTGACAGCTGACATTTCCGGCTTGGCTGATTATGCGCTGGTTCGTTACATTGGATTCCCCGTTCCCTAGCAGATGATCTGATTTCTGTATTAATTGTGCATTAATTGTGTCATTGTGTGGTGCTCGGCAGTTCTGTCAGTCTAGGTTATGTTTATATTGGGGAAAAAGATGAGACAGTTCTATCCTATAGTTTTCTCAAACGGGATGGACGGATCTTTAGGTTTAGTTGAGGGGATGTATGTCTAGTTGAGTGGACGTGATTATTCAGATAGGAATAGGAGAATACATCACTATTTTCCATCCGTTAGACAACCGTCGAGAGAGGTCTGGATTTCATCATCTTTAATTTCACCTTCTTCTTCCTCTTCCATACCTTCGGCCTCTATCCATGCCCCATCTATATCGTTGCCATGGACCCATCCGCCATCATCTCTAGCACTGCCCCGCATGGCCCGGCCTTAGCTGCCCCAAAACCCGCCTAACTGCGGTGGGGCAGAGCTTGCGTGGGGGCCAAGCTCGGCGGGTCGCCTGCCCATATGCTAGAGATGAGGCTGAGGCCGCTCGCCCTTTGGAACGCCATTGGAGGAAGATGAGGACACACAGATGAAAGAAAACAACATCAGCACGGGCTAGTGCGTATCATCAATTTATGGGGACGGGTGTCTCCCTGAATCTAGAGGAATAATTAAGAACGACAACTAGTGAGAGTCTCACCCTTAAAGCAAACGCCATCCTAATTACTGACAAAACTTCTGATGGAACTTTTGCAGGCAATTGATGGAACAGGTTTTGGCACTAGTACTTATGAAGCCGCCTTTGATAGGGCGGCCCTTTATTTTCTTCAGAGCAAATGCGCTCCAAAATCAACACTTTCTTTCCCGGTCCAGCACGGTCCAAAAATGGACAACAAAGGTGAGATATGTTACTGGGCTATATATGTAGCTAGAGAAAGCAAATAATAAGTTTTTTTTTAATTTTTAACTATTTGTGTAAACTTTTATGAAAATAAAAATTATAAGCACTATGGGAACCGATAGCTGAAATCAATAGTGCTAATTAGTTTATTGAATCAATTAGCACGTCCTACATATCCTTAAGATGCATACACAACAGAAATTACAAAATATATATTACTACATCCTTTTTTAACAAAATATATGACTAGGACATTTAGGTTAAAGGAGGGAGTAATACTTTGTAATTTCTATTATATTATCTTGGGTAATGCGACCCAAGAGATGTTATTTCTGGCATACAAGTTTGGCTTAGGTGGATGGCATAATTACTGTATGGGTTAGAATATGTCCTCCGGTTCTTTGTCATGAATGATTTTTCATCCAAGTTATTTATTTGCTCCACATGTAAAGAAACGATTTCTTTTTGTTTCAGAAATGACCTGCACATCTCATTCTGTTACACATAAATGTTTATAATGGGAAGCTAATAAGAATACTCCTATAAGATACAAATTAGACTTTGGAAAGACCTGGTGAAATTATTATTAGATCGACCCTAACTGCTATTGTTAACTGAAAAAACCGAACAGAAGCAAGATGTACTCAAGCATTGTTTGAATGGCGAGAGAATTCAGTAGTCATGAACAATGAATTGTATAAAGGCTTCAGGAAAAGCAAGACCACGGAAAGGATAGAGAACAATAACGACATTATTTCAGGTTTTACCATCCCACTATCTATTCCTTTTCTGCTTGTAATTGATATCTCTAGACTCTAATTAATTGGTACATAACATATATTCTTCTGTTTACAGCATATGATCTCACAAGCTCAGACCTCAAGCACTACAACATGATTGTCTAATACAATCCTGAAAAATCAAACATGCTTCGGGTTGCGTGCTTAATAAATCTGGTAATGTTCATTTCTTAAATTGAAAGAGAATACCGGGTTATACATCTCCTACTACAAAATAATACTACCGTTTCCCCAACCCTTTAGTAGGTCATTTGTACATGCCTTAAGAAATAATCCAAAGTCCAAACATCAGTTAGTGCATTGCCTTTTTTGTTTATCATTTTGTCGTCTTACAGAGTTTCTAGCTATTGTGCAGGCCTCAAATGCATACCTTCAGTTGAGGGGTAATGATACTAAGACGCGATTTGGGTTTGTTGAAGACATGCCTAGAGATGGTCATCCTATTAAGGCTCCAGATATGTCTTTTATAGTTGGGAAGCTGGTTTTTATACAGATTATAATGCTCCTTTTCCTGGTATGATCTTTTTTTACTATAAATTAATGAAAGTTGAAACCCTTTTCTTTTGTAACATATAAAGTAACTATAATTACTTGGAGAAATATGCTACTATCCCAAAATAATCCATTCCAAATTGTAAGTTATTTTAGCTTTGCCCAACATCAAATTTCTCTAACTTTAACCAAATTTATAGAGAAATGCACATACATCTACAACATTAAACAAGATTCATTAGAACACCATGAAATGTATTTTGATAGTGTATTTATTTGAAATTGTATATGTGAATATAAACTTAGTCAAAGTTACAAAAATTTTGACTTATGAAAAAACTAAAATGACTTACAAATTGAAATGGACAAAGACACGAATAATGTGAAATAAGGGCATTGTAGCCCCCTCTATCAGCAGGCCAACACAACAAAACTATGACTCAATTTACTCTCCCTCAACAGTCCATGTCCACACCGCCATAAATAATCCTACAACTGGTTTCTAAACCCTATTCTACTAACATGGTCTGATTTTGACTAGATCAGACTTGTATCACCTACCAAGTCACCGGCGCGACCCCCTTCGGGCAGTGCCTGGTACGGCCCGGCCCGTTGCCCATATATACGTGTAAAGCAAGCCAAACCAACCTATGCCCCACATCCTACAGGCCAAGCCCAGCTATTTCCATCTCCACTTCTCACATCTCCCCTCCCTCACTAGTGTAATTGGCGCCGTTCTTCTTGTTGCATGTGCTACCTCTGCTATCGTAGCCTAGGCAATTGGCGCTCCCATGCCCCTTCCAACTAGATGCAGATCTAATCTAATGTAGATCATAACTGGTAAAAAGAGATTGATGCCAGCTAGGCACAACTTGGTGAACACCCAATAGTTGCGTAATAGGTATTCAGGAGGATGAGGATTGGCAGCGGTGGAGTAGACAAGTCAGCTTGGATGAGCATTGAGCACCAATGATGTGCTTAGAGAACGAAGATGTGGTGGGCTAGTGGCGGATCGCATGAAGTGCATGTGGTGGAAAGAGGACTGACTAAAGGAGATGAACTCTAGTTCGTTTTACTCTAATTTTTTATTGTAAAATAGCACTTGAGTATTCATGAGAACTCCACTCCGAATACATATAAAGATATAAGTAAGTATACGTTGAATATGAACAAAGTCCCTTATACAATGGGGGAATACAAAAAGAGGAACACTAACAAACCAATATATTTCTCTAAAAATGACATACTAACATTGCAGGTCATCCTGAGCAATTTAGGTTATGAGAAACAACAGAAGCTAAGGGCTATGATGAAGATGGACGGTTTAGGTGATATGGCATATTGGACTATATCCTATTGCTACTTCCTTCTTATATCATTACTTTATATCTTCTTACTGGTTACATTTGGCGCCATTGTTGGTAAGATGATACCACTCACAGTTTTATGAGAAAGGCTCCTTATAGCACAATAAATAAAATTAGCATGACTTTTAAGGTGTTGTGGTTGCACAAAATTGAAAAAAAAAGACTACACTGACTTAAAATTAGCATGACTTTTAAGGTGTTGTGTGCCCGTAAGTCATCTAGGTATTATATTTTGGAAGTTTTTGCCTCTTTCGTCATATGGTATTTTTGAGAGTATAATTAATCCATTTCATTATTTGCATTGGTGTCAAGTAATTCCTTATATATAAAGAAATACAATCTATCAATAAAAACACTAGCAAGAGCATGAATGGTTATTTTAATCCCTCTAGTAGTCATAGACACATAACAATATGAATTTTGTGTTATGCTTAACTTGATCTTTTAACATTGAGTCCCCCTCCCCAACATATACACACAACCAAACTTGGATGCTGTACATAGTGTGATATTATTTAAACTAAATTTAGGTACCGATGGTATTGTCTGAAATTACTTTTGCATGAATGTCTTTTCTTCACTAAATTTGTTACATTATGATGCAGCTTTCCCACTTTCTTTTTAGAGAGAGATAGTTGATAGATTCTTGCAACAACCAGATACCAGTTATTCAGTCATAATCGATAACATTAGGAAAGTGTACCCTCCAAAAGATGGAAATGCAGAAGTAGTTGCTGTCAAAGGCTTCTCACTTTCTATCCAACGCGGACAATGTTTTGGACTTGGTTCAAATGGTACTGGAAAAACCTCTCTCATTAGCATGGTATGTATTTCTTTTGCCTTTTATTGACCTTGGGAAGTAGCTTGTTAAATAGAAGTGATTTTTGATTGCTACTTCACACATTACCAACTTTTGTTAACCTAACAACAGTTGACTGGATTTACTAAACCTACATCTAACACGGCTTATATTGATGGAATGGACATACGAACGGACATGAGCGAGATTTATACAAGAATAGGTGTTTGCCCACAATTCAAGTAATTGCAGCTCTTCACACACTATTCTCCTATTTTTTCCCCAAAATGTTAGAAAATCCCTTACAAGATTCAAAACTATATATTGTCTTACGGTAATATGGTCTAGTGTGGAATGTTTTTGACTTGTGATCACTACTTCTTTTATATTCTCCATGTAGATTACTATGGGAAACACTGACTGGCCGTGAGCATTTGATGTTCTATGGCAGACTAAAGAGATTGAACGGTGCTGCGTTAATTGAGGTACTACCTGTATACAGGGTACCCTCTACTATTTTATTTTGGTATTGTTTCCATGAGTCAAATATACTTCCATTTCCAAGAGTCAGATATACTCTATTTCCAAGCTGAAGCACCATGCAAATAGTTTACATGCATTATCAACTTTATTTGAATATGTATGCTATTTTTATATTTTTGAGAACGTGCTATGCACGTGTTTCATTAAGAGGAGAAGATGTGACCCATAGAAGTACAATACAAAATAGATATGATACAGACCAGCATGCGAAGTGCCTAGAAGACATAAAACAAAGAGAAAGAGAAAGAGAAAGAGAAAGAAAGAAAAACAGACCCAAACCACACAAGGGCTCAAGCTACACTTGAAACTACCTCTCCTAAAACCGCTATACAACAGACAAACAGATTAACGTGGCTTGCAACCAGCAACCTGCATCCTGCATCCTGACCTCTTTAATATCTTTGTCCAATTGCATCGACTAAAGCAATTGTCCTCTAAAGACCCGAGCATTGCGTTTCTTCCAGATCCTCCAAGAGATTAGGATGACTAAGGAATCATTGAGAGTTTAGAAACCATCACTGATAACTTTATCATAGAGGATTTTGGAAACATCGATGTAATCATCTTAAAAATTAATAAATTTCTTCCTTTATCAAAAAAAGGGTTACCATAGACACAAATTATAGTTTCTTCAAAAGCCGCCGGTAATGCAGCCTAAGAATATCTTGTGTGATGACCCTATTAATGAGTCAGTGATCTGTTTTGAGCTGACCCACAATTTGAAAACTCCAAATTCAAAATGCAAGGTTGCTGTCATACATCTGCATATTTGTAATTTCATCATATATCCATAGTTTATAAATGGAAGTTCAAATTGCTCTCTCTTTATCTGAATGAAAAGAGATAGAAGAAGTTCTCATATTCTGGATGGAAACCAAACTAATTGTCCTGGCGTGTATGTAAGTAGGTACTCCCTCCATTATATTCTAGATTATAGAATGCCTTAGCTTTTCTACATACACGGCTGTTGCTATGTATGTAGGTATACACTGTGCCTAGATACACAATAAAAACAATGTATCTAGAAAACCAAAACGTTTTATAATTTGAAACGCAGGGAGTAACAACTAGGAAGTAGTCAATGGCTCAAAGCTTTCTATTTCTTTCTCCAGGCTGCAGAACAATCTCTAAAAGCACTACAGATATTTGATGGTGGTGTTGCTGATACTCTGGTTTCACAATACAGCGGTGGCATGAAACGTCGTCTCAGCGTTGCTATATCCCTAATCGGCGACCCTAAGGTTAAACTTGTTCTGTGCAGCAGTTATCCATGATCAGTGAAATAGACAGTATTTCTTTTGGAGACAGAACAGTATGTAATTTACCCAATTGGTTAAAGGTTATTATAGGTATATTATTTGGAGCATGCATTTTGTAGGTGGTTTACTTGGACGAACCAAGTACAGGATTGGATCCAGCATCAAGGAGTGCCTTATGGAACGCTCTGAAGTTTGCCAAAAAGGACAAAGCCATAATCCTCACAAGTAAGATTAATTTTCCACACTTGTATTTTCAGACACTAACACACTTCCATATCTGCTACTAATCACAACAGTTTAACTGAGCTTGAAATCATGCATGGAATGCCTTCTTCAACCTTTCAGCGCATTCGATGAAAGAGGCCGAGGCTCTATGCGACCGGATAGGAATAGCGGCGTATGGACGTCTCCGGTGCACCGGAACCTCCAAAGAGGTACACATCACTTGCGCCTCCCAGCTGACTCTGTTTTCACTTTTCAGAACCAACATTGTAATTGCATGTATGTTCGTTTCTCGCAGTTGGAGGCGAAGTACGGAGGCACGTTCGTGTTCACGGTGACGGCGTCGGCGGGCGAAGACGAGGCGGTGGAGCGGCTGGTCCGGTCCATCTCCCCCGCCGCCAAGCGGACGTACCACATCGCCGGGACGCAGAAGTTCGAGCTGCCCAAGCAGGGGGTGAGGATCGCCGAGGTCTTCCGCGCCGTGGAGCAGGCCAAGCGCTCGCTCAACATCGCCGCCTGGGGCCTGGTCGACACCACGCTGGAGGACGTCTTCATCAAGGTCGATTGCTGAGGAGATCGAGTGCATGAGAAGTGCATGCGCTGCGCGGAGCCGGCCGGGATCGCTCTGAGATCCATTCAGGATTTGGGTTGGACTTGGTCGGCGCCGTGGTGATGCAACGCTTGCGCCGGCCACCCAACTGTGCTTGGGCACATTCGGTTGCTCGATCTGTTCGTTGGCGAAGAGCGAGGAGGCAACGACGCAAGCGGCGTAGGGTACAGCGACAACGTTCCTGCCATGGGATCGCCACCAAAAGCGTGCAGCGGCTTGCGGATACGCTTCTGCAACCCAACTGAAGACTGTTTTTCCTTTTTTTTTTAACGCAAAATTGTTTTTCCTTCCATCTGTATGATATATATATATATATACTAACAACTTTAGAATTAATAATAATAATGTATCCCTGATATATTAGGTCAGTTTGATCTCCCGTGATTAAGGATTTCTTAGTTTTTTGGGCTTCCGGCAATTAAGGATGGACAAGTTTTTGTTTTCTCTATTTACGCCACTGAAGCTGGGATGCATGCATATTGTTTTTTTTAATTAGGAACGCAAGTATACTTGCATATATATATATATATATATATATATATATATATATATATATATATATATATATATATATATGTTTATGTTTATGTTTATAGAAACTGTGATAAAACCTGGCCCATTTCGTATAAAATTACACCTTTTTGCCACATTTCAACATTTTTTTCGAGGGAACACATTTCAACTTCCATATCTTGTTCCGATCACTAGGCCATCAAACACAAGTGTACACCGCGTACACACATAAAAGAACCACCAAAATTTAGTGCAGAACGAGGCAAATACATTGCAAATTTAGGAGGAAAGAAATTTAGTTGGACAAAGGTTTAGTCACTTAAAGTTTAGTTAGGTGATGCATGGATACCATCTAAACTTTAGGTGACTCATACGGTCATACCTGAATAGACTACACTAAGATATGAAAGGGCAGGTGGAAGAGTATTATTTACATATTTCTCACGTTCTGTGTTAGTTTTTAAGTTCGGTTTAACTCATTTTTGCTAGAACAATTAGTTAGAGTTGAACTTAATTTTAGTCAATCTATTACTAGGAGTCTAGGACTAAAGTTTAGATGACTAGCAATTAAATATAGGTTACGCCAACAACCCACCTAAAAGGTGCACATTTTACAAAATGGCAGGGGGCCATGTCCATCGCAAACTCAATTGTTAATACCCATTTCAATAAATACCATATCTTTTTTTGGATAGGATTTCCAAACATTGATGTTGAGTAGAGCACCCTACTAGTAATTCTGACCATGCACAATAGCAAAATCCACCCACCCCTATAGAATTAATGCTACCGCATCCTTGCTGGGCACTGTGATATCCTGCTGCGGTTTCCCGAAATTGACCTTTCTTCGGAGCAAGGGAAGGATGCTCTGATCCGCTATCGCTAGGGGCAAAACCGTCTTTTGCACGTGGAAGGCCACACAGCTTTTGCAGTCCTGCACCGCTGGTGCCTTGGCGCGCCTGCTCCCAGTCCAATTGGAAGTGCTACTGCTACACTTGCAAGCGTAGCAGCAGAGTCTTCTCTTCACTTCTCCTCGAGCTCTGCTCTTCACTTCTCTCCGAGGGGAGGAGCCGAGCGGCGAGGCGATGGGTGCCAACTGCCTCGCGCAGACCAATGCACTCTTCAGGAAGAATCTCGTGATCCAGGTGATGCGTCCTCATCTCCTGATCAGTCAAATCTCTCTTCGTATTACTGGAATCTCGACTCTTTTTCGTAGGAAAAATTTTCTTTGTGGTTTGCCTCTGAAAAGGTTCATAGTTTCATACTAGTGCATGCTCGATCCTGTGGATTCCAAGGAACTGAAGAATGCAGCTCCTGTGTTCTAGTCCCAAGATTCGATCTTCTTCTTGCCGGAGCGCATACGAAAACCCCCAAATTAATTCTCTTCTCGCCGGGGTGCAATCAATCCTATTGCTTTTCGCTGATGAACTCTGACATGTTCTACCTACACTGTGGATCTGCAGAGGCGCAACCACAGGTCGAATTGCTGCCTCATCTGCTTCCCGCTGCTCATCTGCTTGCTACTCGGAGGGGTGCAGATGATCGTGGCGATAGCTTATTACGCCAGTTCAGCGGCGCACAGGCCACGGATCGACTGCGGCTACTGCACCGCTAGCACCAACAGCTCCAGCACGGACACGGTAGGAGGTCTCGTTTGCCCAACCGAATGCCCCCTGCCGATCGCGCCGAAATGGCCGCCGGTGCTGCAGCTGCCGCCGGCACCGGACGACATGGACATCGGTTCCTCGGCGTCGACCAATCTCACGGGCGCTTCGATCAGAAGGTCGAAACCCCCCGCGGCGACGTTCCTTGTCACTGGTACCAACCAGTCATTTGCAGAAAGTATGCACATCTTTAGTTTTGCGGTAAATGTTGGAGTTTCCTACTTGCAAAATGCTGTTATAGGTTTGGAATTTCATGATTTCTGGTTCTTGCAGGTGTCATGAGTAACATGTTACCCAAGCATGGGGAGTTGAATTCTGCAGCCGACATCTCCAATATTGCTGATTTCGCACTGGTTGGTTCCCTAAATTGAGCTTTGTGTGATGCTCTGCTGCTCGCTTGTTGAATTGAGCCATTGATCTAACTCCCTGCGAAACATTTTCAGGGTACAGATGCAATGCGCTTTATCTCTAATGGCGCTGAGGAACTCGGTTCTGATTTTGACCACCGCAACCACCTCTTTTTCCTTCAGAGAAGCTGCACTCCGAACGCGACACTTTCTTTTCTAGTCCAAGAAGGTAGCAGCAATTTTACCAAAGGTGAGATTCTTAACGGCTGCCCAGGAGCTATGTAGAGAAATCAAACGATAATTTAGTGTTTACAGAGTTGGCTTAACACAAATCTAGTGGGTACAATATGCAGTTCTTTTATGATTTTTTAAGGAAAATAAAACTAATTCGCAAAAAGAAAAGGAAAAGGAAAAGGAAAACAGGTGGCTAATAGTAACATTTAGTGCATTATTACTACTATTTTTAGAATGGAATTTACCAGGTATTTTTTTCTACAAATATTCGACGATTTGGTTGAGACATTGATCAGATAGAGTACCTTTTCTGAAATATGACTAAGTCATTGTGAAATAAGATGAACCCTAACAGCTATTCTTATCTGAAAAACTGGCCTGGATCAGATGCGGAATGTATTGAAGGATTATTTCTCTGGCGAGAGGACTCATCAGTCATTAACAGTGAATCATATAGAGTTTATTACAAAGAGGATACGCAAGCCAATCAAATTGCTTCAGGTTTTACCATTCTTCTCCTTGATCATATATTTTCCCCCTAATTGACAACTCTAATCAACTTATATTATTCTGTTTACAGCATATGACCTCACAAGCTCAAACCTCAACAAGTTTAACTTGATTGTCTCATACAACTCAACATACAAGGGTGATACTCAATTGTCATTGTCGTTATCTTCACTTTCATTTTCACCAATATTGCTTCGAGTTCCACGGTTATTGAATCTGGTAATTGTTTCTTTTGACTGAAAAAATATAATTTTCCAGGTGAAACATACTTGCCACAACATACTATTTTCCCCCAACACTCAGCTCACCATTATATAAATGTCAAAAGGAACTAAGATGTAATGGTTTAAACTTCCTTGCTTTCTATATGATAGCTTCTGCTATCTGTCACCACACCCCTTTTTTTTTTTAAAAAAACTATTACACTTTTGAATGTTCTTTGAAAGTCAAAATCTTGTGTTACTAAATGCTTTCGTGTAGAAAAAATTATTCAAATGTTTATGCATTGTTTTGCTTATTTTATGGTGCTCCTATGCAGGTCTCAAATGCATACCTTCAATTGAGGGGCAGTGATACTAAGATACAGTTTGAGTTTATTAAAGACATGCCTAGAGTTGCTCAACAAGAATTGCCTATTGATATATCTTTCTTAGTGGGGAAATTGGTTTTCGTATGGATGATAATGCTTCTTTTCCCTGTATGGTCTCCTTTACCGTAGACTGAACAGCATGTAGTAGATGGGAACTTCTTTTCTTTCCTGATATAGACATTAGTTAACTTGCATAATCAGATGTAAACTTGCTGCTATTGCAGGTCATCCTGAGCAATTTAGTCTATGACAAGGAACAGAAGCTAAGAACTATAATGAAGATGCATGGCCTAGGAGATATGGCATACGGGATTATATCATACTGCTATTTTCTTCTTCTATCGCTACTGTATATGCTCTTCTTGGTGTTTTTTGGATCTCTTTTTGGTAAGACGATTCATTTCACAATTTGACAAGATGCGCTGCGTTAATATCCCAAATAAAAGGGTACATTTTAGAAGTGTTAAGGTTGTACAAATGGTTAATAGTACACTAGTTTTAGTTTTTTTTTTTTTGTTTTCTTCTGATAATAGCTGCTTTCGATATGGTGAAAAATTATTTATAATATGTTGAAAGCATACATTAGGGACCACTTGTGCATTTCAAATCATGTGAATTACTTTGCTTTGGAAATAATACTTGTCTTTCTGTTGCCAGGCATAAAGTTATTTATATTGAGTGACTACAGGGTACAATTTGTGGTTTACTTCGCCTACATAAACTTGCAAATTTCGTTTGCTTTTCTTATAGCAACATACTTTTCAAAAGTCAGAACTGCTAGTGGTATGCTTCTACTCGAGTGTTTGCATTTCTGTTTGTTCAGATTCAGATGGTTCCAGCAAATTATTGACTATCATTATATGTAATTGTTTCATGCAGTGACTGGATATCTCTTCACAATTGGGTCTGCCTATTTAGGAGAATATTTATTCAGGCCTATTTTTGAAGATATGTCCATGTCAAGTCTGTGCCCAAACTACTTCCTACATTATGGCTAAGTCTGTTGTGATATATCTTATACCCCCCTACTATTACTTCTAAGAAAAAATATCATATTTTTCTGTGCTTCAGGAAGTTGGACAACACTTATGGAGTTCTTCCCACCATTTTCTTTGTACCGCATAATCTACGAGTTCTCTCCACCTCCATCACCTTTGTATCGTACAGACTTTTCTGGAATACACTGGGAAGACTTGAGTGATCACAAGAATGGAATGATAGACATTCTCATCATAATGGCAATCGAGTGGGCCACATTCCTTTTGTTAACATTCTTTTTGGATGAATTTGGTACTCTCCAAAACGGAATTAGAAAAATAGTATCAGCTTGTCACTCAAGCACAGATTGGAGCTCTCACACTTGTCAGATGCAGACTATTCAGCTTCAAGAATTCCTATCCTCAGTTGAAACAGACATGACTGATGTATTGAGAGAGGTGCACTTCCATATTATCTATCACCATTACCCTTGTGCTTATACAATTCTATTTTTGTACGCTTTTATGTTCTGCTTGATTAAATCTGAATAATAGAATAAAGTAGACCGTGTGCTAACTTGATATTCTGAACACTATATCGACCAAACCACAAACCATCCCACCAAACTTGGATATTGCAGATAGTGTGACAAAGCAAGTTGAGATAAAAATATTATTTGGAATTACTCCAGTACTCCTGCATGAATGTTGTTTTACCAAATTCTTGGCACAATAATATTGCTTTCCCCTTTTTCTGTTTTCAGAGAGAAATAGTTGAACAACTCTTACAAGAATCGGATAGCAGTTATTCAGTAATATGCGACAATCTTAAGAAAGTGTACCATGGAAAAGATGGAAATGCAGAGAAAATTGCTGTCACAGGGTTATCACTTTCTATACAACGTGGGCAGTGTTTTGGAATTCTTGGTCCAAATGGTGCAGGAAAAACCTCTCTCATTAGCATGGTAAATACAAACAGTCTTAGATGCATAAATCAGTAATGTATACAGGATGTTTCACACTGCAGTTTCTCTTTCCCGGGAAATGTCACCAATTTAGGAGAGTTGCTATACCCATTTGTTTAAATCAGGAAACATCATGTTTAGAAGTTCCTGATTTCCTCTTTATTCCAGAACACTAGCTATTGTTCAATAGTTCATCGATTAGATTATATAATTTATTTCTCATTGCTACATTACACTATCGAATTTGATTAACTCTTAACCTGACAACAGCTGACAGGATTTACTAAACTTACATCTGGCACGGCTTATATTGATGGAATGGACATACGATTGGACATGAACAAAATCTATACAGGAATTGGTGTTTGTCCACAATTTGAGTAATGTTAACTTCCTGTCTCTCACTAAGCCTCTGTTACAAAAAAGCAACCCGTATAATTCTGAACTAATTTTCTCTCAAAATTTAAGGCGGGAGATTTGTTAATTTGTGATCGCTACCCCTTTACGTTGATCATCTCCATGCAGCTTGCTATGGGAAACACTGACGGGTCGAGAGCATTTGATGTTTTATGGCAGACTTAAGAATTTGAGGGGTGGAGCATTAGATGTGGTAATGTCTGGCCACAGGTTAATCTGTACCTGTTTATTTTTGGGATTCATTCCATGAAATTGATTAGTTCCATTTGCCACCTTAAACTGAGACACCATCTAATTATTTCCATGCACTATCTGGTTCAAAGTCGTGTACTTGTATGTGACCCACATGTGGATATATCTTAATTCTGATTTTATTTCTCGTTAATTTAGAAAAGGAAAAAATTGCGGCTTTAGCAACCACCTACAACAATTCTTAGTCACCGAGTTTTCAGCTCAATTGTTGACTATCAAATGAAGGGAAAGAGGACACATTAAATGGGAAACTATAAACAAAGTCTATTATTGCTTTTTTCATCCATTGCTCATGAAGATAAACAGAGCGACAACCTCCAAAGCTTTGGATGCCTTCATGTCATCTCCCTAGTGTCCTCATGTTGCATCGACGTCCAAAAACATTGCTAACATATTCCCTTGAAAGTAGTCTAAAAAAGGAAGTATATGTTTTTTTAAAAACAAAATTATTCTGTGAACACCAAATTATTCAAATAAGAGCCACGACCCCTACAAAAATAGAGTTCTCTCCTCCTTCCCTATGCCCATTAGCAAATTCCCTAGCATATGATATGGGTTTTGGTGGGGATAACCTAGTTAGATATATGAACCATAGTCATAGAAAATGGGGGTCAAAGGCATCAACCCTGAACGTCGACCCCAACCCGAATATGCAGGGTCATTTTCAACCCTGCCATGTAAAAACCTCTCACAAGTAGCATACCATGTTCGTCGACCTTGTTCTCTGATCCTGTTGACCCAGAAGTTTTGTGACTATGATATGAACAATGTTTCAAATTGTTTTATCATGCCGACAATAAAAATATAGGTGTTTAATTGTTTATGCAATTACAGAAACACCACTTGTGACTACCAGTCTAGTTTCTTTTGGCTAAGTTATCCTTTGTTAAAATTTCATCTCATTGAAAGTACTAAAAGAAGATCTTATCTTAAGAGGGATTCCAATTTTCAAATGAATTTGTTGGTAAAAGGGGTGTTTGTTCTGACTTTTCAGAAATTGGTACATTGACGTACTAAAAATTGACCATGATTATGTAGGTGGTTCTAGTTAAAAACATCCCTCTTGTCGGGAAGTTCTATTGGCTACTGATTATGCCAGGCAATCAATTTGTCACAAATTAAAGCTCTTTAAAAGAGATATTAACATGCATTTGATTCAAGACATTCTCACCACTAGCAAGTGGGTAATAAACAATATTATATAGCCTAGAAAATTTCTCATTCAGGGGTGTTTAGCCTATCTAAGTATCTTCCTAGAACCTAGTTTGTAAGCTACCCCTCCATTACAAATTGTAAGTCATTCTGGCTTTTGTAGGTACATAGCTTTTGTTACGCATCTAGATATACATTATGTCTAGATATACAGTCAAAAATATGTATATAGAAAAGCGAGAATTCATGTTGTAAGTATCTCTTATTTTAAAACTCCCACATCGCAGAAATTCATCCCAGATATTTTAAAAGACCTTTTTTTTTCCAAAACTGAGTCACCTATCCTATTTTCTATTCATGTTGCAATAACATCGATCACACATTTACAATTATATGTTGTGTATCAATCAAATCAAAGTACTGTTTCTTTCCTCCAGGCTGTGGAACATTCTCTGAAAAGTGTAAGGCTATTTGATGACGGTGTTGCTGATAAGCGTGTGGCAAAATATAGTGGTGGCATGAAGCGTCGTCTCAGTGTTGCTATATCTCTGATTGGTGATCCTAAGGTACTTGTATTTACATACCTGACCATAATTCAGGAAACAGAGTGCATTTCTTGTACAGTTAGAAAGAGTGGTATTTGCGGCAAAGCAATGTGGAATGCTGTATTTCTTGTACAGTTTGCCCATGTAAAAGGTTATGTGTTTGGAGCATTTTGTAGGTTGTTTACATGGACGAACCAAGCTCTGGACTGGACCCAGCGTCAAGGAGAGCACTGTGGAATGCTGTGATGTCTGCCAAAGAGAACAGGGCCATAATTCTCACAAGTACAGTATTCCATCTATATATGTTTTCAGACACCGCTCCATTCTCTCAGTTTCCCTAACGACAGTACTTTTCTGTCAGCTGCCATCTTGAATTTGACAACATAATTGTGCCTTCCAACTTTCAGCGCATTCGATGGAAGAGGCTGAAGCTCTATGCGACAGGATAGGAATCATGGTAAACGGGAGTCTTCAGTGCATTGGAAACTCCAAAGAGGTAGGCTTATCCATGTGATAAGTCTGTAGTTCTGTACTGATCTACACATACTTGCTAAAAGATGTGACGTTTTTCCAGCTGAAAGCCAAGTATGGAGGCACATATGTCCTCACCATAACAACTGCGGCGGGCGAAGAGGAGGTGGTGGAGCAGCTCGTCCGGTCCCTCTGCCCTGCGGCGAACAGAGTGTACCGCATCTCGGGGACGCAGAAGTTTGAGATGCCGAAGCAGGGGCTGAGAATTAGTGAGGTGTTTCAGGCCATGGAGCATGCCAAGAGCTGGCTGAACATCGCTGCCTGGGGCCTATCTGATGCAACGCTGGAAGATACCTTCATCAAAGTTGCCAGCGAGAGTGACGTATCCTCCGTGTAGGCTGTAGATAGAGGTGGTATTTGGACTTCTTTAGATTGGCAACATTCGATCGACTATATGTATCCTGTGATAATAATTAACCGCATCTTGTACTGTTCCTTATATTCTAAATTGTAAGTTATTTCAGCTTTTCTATATCGATATGGCTACGTGCGTTTGGATGCCCGCGTAGTTTGCCCCGTCCGCTAATTCGCCCCGGCCCAGTTGCTGCGCCCGCGCGTCCAGACGACTCGCCTCGCACGCGCAATCCGCCTGTCTCGATTTGACCCACCCCGTCCGCCTGGTCGTTAGCCCCGCCCCGCACGCGCCACGTCGGCCGGACTTGGCTCGCCGCGCCCCATTCCCCGGCGCCCGTGCCATGCCACCATCACTCGCTGCGCCACCTGACTGAAACAGATTAAATATTTGGAATATACTGTTGCAACATATCTGTGAAACATATGCAACATCCAGATCAAAACGCTTATAACATACATCTTGAACAGATAAAACATTTTGAACAAATGCTTACAATATGCCTCTAGAACACTTGCAACATCATCGATCTACTTTTGCAACATCCATATAAAACAATTGCAACATACCTCTCAAACTTCTGAAACACTTGAAATAGACATTTGCAACATAGGGGATGAGAGGCTTGGACAGATCCGTCAGGGTGGGAGCCGACGGTGAGCTACAGCGCAAGAGAGCACCACTAGCATCCCGCCGCGCTCGTTGGTGCCCTAGGGGATGAGAGGCTTGGGCAGATCCGTCAGGGTGGGAGCCGACGGTGAGCGATAGCGCGAGAGCACCACTAGCATCCTGCCGCGCTCGTTGGTGCCCTTGGTCTCGGCTGGGGATGACCCGAGGTGTCCCGGGACGTGTGCCCAGCGGGCATCGGCAGGGGGCAGCTGCGCGCGAGGCATCCCAATGGTGTTGGGTTGGGGAAGAGGCTAGGGAGGCGCTTTGCTGTCAGCGGACGCGAGATAGAGAGCGAGAGATGGGGGAGAGCAGAGACAATGCGTGCAGGATGAGGGCACATCGAGGGATGGCCGCGGCGGTCGGGCCGCACGATGCGTGTCGAATTTGCACGGGCCGGGCGCGTGACAAGTAGGGCGAGCGATGGGAGGGAGCAAGTGTCACGGCGAGGGCACACGTCGCAAGCGGGAGCCAGCAGCGTGGGCAAGCGGCAAGGCGGAGTGTGGCGCGCGGCGTCTGGATGGATGGACGCCAACGTGAAAGCATTATCGTTTTTTTTAGCCTAAGGCATTATCGTTTCTAGATATATAGTAAAAACGTGTATCTAGAAAAAAGTCATAATGACTTACAAGTTATAATTTTGAACAAAGGGACTAACATCTATGCGATGTTGTTCAAATTTACCTAATATTTAGCTGATTTTTTATCAGAATTTGATGAATAGACACAAGAAGAACGGAATGAATTATAATCTTTTTATACAAGGAAGAACTTATGGGTTTATTTGAAGTCTAGACTTGACTAGCCTAAAAATTTGAATTGGGCCGAAATTTTTGATCGTTATGATGTTGGTTTAGGACAGATGAATTTCACCAAAATTCATTTATTTTAGACCAAATCCCAAAACGCTACTTCACACATGTCATAAGGGAAGTCTCATTGAAAGTACAATTCGCAAGACAATCCGAGGGCTAATGAGAACTCAACCCCAACGCGTCCAAATTCCAAAAGGACCGCATTAGTGCTGTAAAATTGCTTATGATCCATCTCACGTAGACATAGGATGACATACACATAGCATCTCTCATTCTCTCTGACCCTTTTCTTGTTTTCTCGTGTAAAATGGTTAACTTAAAAGTACTACGTTGAAATGACATGGATTAAAACTTGGCATGAAACTATTTAAACAACCCAAATGAGGTTAATTCTACAAAAACACGACACATGGGCCCCAACGGGTTGAAACCAGAACACTAACGGATCAGATATTACATTGTCTTCTGCTTTAGGGCTAACGCCCTCTTTCAAAGTTGACGCCCTTGTTGGTGAGAATATTGGTTCTAAATATTGACTCCATGGGGTGCCGAGGTATTACACGTGCAATAGCAATTGACTGCCCTAGGTTAATTTACTGGCGCCCCTAGGACCTTGTGGTTGGCCTACTCGTGCCATGGGCTGATTGTCCGAGTCCGTGTGCGTCACGACATATGGCTCGTCTTTCACCTTTTTTTAACCTTATAACATATGCACATAACAGTTACATATTTAAGGTGAGCTATTGTCCAGCTAATTGTTCATACACGATTAATCCTTATTAGCACCTTGCACTCATTAGACTCGCTCCGATCTAGTTTATAAGGTGCGTATGCATATCATGATTCAAGCTTTACGATCTTTGACCAATAATTAGGCTAACATTTTTAACTATTATAATACAAATTTGATATTTTTTAGATTTATAATCAAATTCATTATTCAATAACTATAAGTTGATAATTATAAATAATATAATACAACTGGATCGAAGGTACATAAGCAGTTTTTAGATAATGACGCAACAAGTTATATATTTGCTAGTTTTAAACTATTGTTCCACTGTTGCCTCCGCCTAGGCCCTAGGGCTTCTCTCCTTCTTCCGCTCCGGTGATGCCGGTGGTAAGGAGGGAGACCCATCTCTCTTTTTTGTAGTTTGCATATCTAGTTTGCTTAGGGCTTAGTACAAATTAATTTATCGATGAAATCATATGATTTTCGATCGGGATCTTGTTACCGCGATGACTTCGGTGATTGTCATGACGAAATTACCGTTGCAGGCGTTGATTTCATCGGCGGGTCCAATTTGTGGCCATTATAAGCAAGGGAGGGGTGTTCCTGGGCACTCTCAACGATGACAATTACTCTAGGTCATTGATCTCATCATCGATGGTCGCGGGGAGGAAATCAAAGTTTGAAGGTAATGAATCTGCATCCTATGCTGTACCTAACAATGCAACTGCCGATGTTCTTTCATCGATTCAGATACGTTTTGAACTGGTCCCAAAACGTTGGATCTTGCAGCATGTCAATGTTTTGGGATTGATCATTGGATTCATCTTCACTCTGACTTTGGTGTTCAACAAGGCTGTGCTCATCAAAAAACAACTAGGGAAGAAGACTATGGATGAATCTGGATAGGCCCTATTGTACCCTTTTAATTTCAGATTTTTTCATATGTAATATGTGGGTGTAATGTGCCAAGTTTTAATATAATTCCCCCTTCACTTCAGAAAAAAAATGTTCCACGAGTAGCCTACTCTCCCCGTGGGGAGGATAAATATAAAATCAAGAAGAATAATAAATAATAAAGAAAGAGAAAAAAAGTAAGAAATAAAAAAAAGAGGAAATTGCAACAGAAATGAGCGACGAACGGCCCAGAAGGCCCGTGCGGGAGCGCTCCCTTGGGCCGAACAAGTCCGGACTGGGCTACAGCCGCCCGCCGCATCCTTTCACTTCACGACGCGTGCGCGCTTTCCTTCTCTCTCGCCGCCGCCCGCCGCCGCCGCCGCCCTACGCCAGTTGCCGAGGCCCTTCGTCGGTCTCTTTGCCGGCGACGAGCACCAGGTATTCCCACTCCTTCTCTTCCTTTCCACGAAACTCTCCCAAACCCTAAGGTGTTCTCACTCCTTCTCTTCCTTTCCGCGAAACTCTCCCAAACCCTAACTTAATTGGTGGTTCCGCCCCTGGTACGTTTGATTAGTACCATACGGGCGAATTAATTAGAAATAGATGACTTTATTAAGCGAAATCCGCCCCGCTCCATTGCCTCCACGGGCAGATACACGGCTGTCAGCTGCGAAAGATGCCTCAGTGCACAAAAAAAGAGGCCACCGAGCCCAGCCGTTGACCCTTGCACCACAACGAAAATATGTGTGTGCGCGGGCACGGACGAACAATATGCAGTGAAAAGATCTTCTCCGAGAGTGAGATGCACAGCCGTAAAAAAAATAAAAATAGATAAAAAAAAGCGCCCAGTGAAATAGGGCGCGAATTGTATCTCCCGTGGTGGCGTGTGCTAGACATTAGCACACCGAGCTCTTTTTGCTTTTTCTACTTTGTGTTTAATGCCAGACAAAATTCAATATGATATTTAAAATCCAAGAGTCAGTTGCACCTAGAACTGCCTCTATTACCCACATACCACATAAAAGGTTGTTGCCGCACATGATCTGAATTTTTGCCATAATGTTTCCCGTTCCCCAATAGATTTATTCTGAATTTTTGCCATAATGTTTCCCGTTCCCCAATAAATTTATTCTTACGGATTTGTAGCTCTGTTGTTCTGTACATTTAGCTTTCTGTATGTTCATAGGTCTTTTTCAAAATCAATTACAGTTGATAACAATGAAAAATACCACTTCAGTCAGCTGCACCCATATCATTGCATTGCATTGCATTGCTGATTGTCTTGTCTGCAAAAGGTTCCAGCCAGCTTTGGCAGTGCAGGGGCTGCCAAACTAGTCACTAAAGTCGTTGCAGTACTGGACATATTATAGTAGCTGTCCGCTATCCTTCCCTTTTCATTAAGGAAAAACATGATCGTTGATTCATTTGTGTTCTCTGTTTTTTCCGGAAGAGCTGGTAATGTGGTTTCCAGGGAAAACAGAATTTTAGTGAAGGGTAAATGTGGAAGAACAAAAAAGCATCTATCTTTCACTTTATTTACCTCGTATGAATCATACTTTAATGTCCAGATCCATCTTTTTGATGAGAATATGAGATAGATTATGGAACAATCAGTTTACCACAACATTTGAATTAGTTCGAGTATTATTGTGTTTTAGTAACTAATTTGCATGCAGTATGTGCTGCAATGGACTTTTATGTTTTATTAAAGATGACTATTGCAGATATGCCTTTCCAACAATACTAGAAACACAGACACACCGGCATATCATGTCGGAATGGTATATGGGTAGGGAGCTATCTAGTCATGGGTGTGCAGGAGGCTGGCATCCTTTCCCATTGGTGTAGTGCAGTCCCCTAGACTCGAGATATATACT